ATATGAGAACAAATGCAGAATACCTACAATTCTCAACTTAAAAAAAGAGGATCCATAGAGTCCATTGAGCTGAACATAACAGTATTTTTTTTTTTTGGGAAACAAATACAAGAATTATTAAAGGGCAAAGTTCAAATAAGTCATTTTTTAAAATTAATATTTCTCGAAAACTTTCTATTGATGTCATTCAATAGATAATGTAATTCTCTTTAATTTTATATATGTGCATATATTATATACCAGATCGCTCTCACGCGCCTCGCTGAGTGTATGAGATTCCTACGTGCTACATTAGGTGTAATTTTCTTCCATTAAACTCAGCATACTTAAAATATACCCGTATTATAATCATTCATTGAAATTATTGAATAGTTTGAATTTTACTTCTTAAACCATTAATTCCTATAATTCAAGTAGAATTTGAATTTTCAAACATGTGGAAACCCTGCTATATATACATATGTTGCTTAGAAATAAAGCCTCAGAAAATTACCTTAAATACCTCAGAAAATTATACATGTACGACTTTAAAAATAGGTGGCAGCCCTCTTCCAAATATTTTCCTCCTAAAACCCTATTAAAATTCTGACATCCTATTGTGATACATATTCAAATCACCAAATTCCCTTGATTAAAGAATTTGAATTTCAAACAGATTGATTGATTCGATTGATACCCATATTGTAGTAATTCATTTAATTTGAGTTTCATTTTTAAATGGGTGGCAACGCTTCAGTAACATTCACCTCAGTAACATTCTAAATGTGCAATCTGAAGGTTTCTTAGTAATCTTTCATTTGACACCCATATATTAATTTTTCAGAGAGCTTGCGAATAACTAATTTAAATTTGGCTTTTCAAACCGGTGGCAACCCTTTCCAAAATATTTTTCAAACTAACTTTTTTAAGCCTCTTGCCATCCATTCTTTGACCCTTTCCATGGATTTGCGAATTTAACACACGCACAGGTAAAAACTCTTAGTTCTAATTGTTTATTTGTGTGTTAAACAATTGTTACAAATTTTAGATGCCCTATTAAATATATCTGGCAAGCTATAACTTTTGAACGATAAGCTTTCCACAAAACAAAAAGAAATATTTTTCTCATCTTCAGGGGGTTGACTTTTCCCGATATACAAACTTTCAGATTTTTAGCTTACCGTAAATTTTTTTTCGACACTGAAAGGGTTAAAAAAATTTTCAAATAAATAATTCCCTTAATGCAAGTCGAATTTGATTTTTTAAACGGGTGGCAGCCCTCTATGAGTATGGAATTGATTTTATATATATCTATACCAAGTTCCAGTACTCTATCCAAAATATTTCTTGAGATATGCGGAATGAAAAATTACGTTTGTATAGGAAGTGCTTGGCCCCCTCGTCTAATGTAAATTAAATCTATCCTATATTTTAAGTTGGGCTAAATAACACCTGTGTACAAAATTTTATGAGTATCGGTTGAATAGTTAAAGCGTGAAAGCGTAACAAATAAACAAACTCACTTTCGGATTTATAATATTAGTAAGGATACCTTTTAAAATACAGCGGCTCCGCTGGCTTGGTCATGTCGTTCGAATGGACACCGACGCTCCAGCTCTGAAGGTATTCAACTCGCAACCCGCTGGTGGTAGCAGAGGAAGAGGGAGGCCCCCACTGTGATGGAAAGATCAGGTGGAGAAGGACTTGGCTTCACTTGGCGTTTCCAATTGGCGTCAGTTGGCACAGAGGAGAAACGACTGGCGTGCTTTGCTGAACTCGGCCAAAATCGCTTAGGCGGTTATAGCGCCAAAAAAGGATACCTTTTAAAAAGTATAGTGTTTTTGCGTATAACTTCTTTCTGTGTAGGCGGCCTTCGGACGCACTTATGGATTATAACCATCACTAAGTAGAATTCTTTCTGAACACCTTTTGCAGAGAACACTTTTCTGCTTAGGTGGCTTTCGGTCGCACTTAGGGATTATAACCCTCACAAAGTAGAATTCTCTTTCAGTGTTGCGAAGAAAAGGCACTGAACACCTTTTGCAGAGAACACCTTTCTGCATAGGCGGGCTTCGGCCGAACTTATGGATTATAACCCTCACTAAGTAGAATTATCCTTTCTGTGTTGCCAGAAAAGAAGCCGAAGTATTTCTGCGTAGATTAGAAGTTTGTGAAAACTTTAAAAGGTATATGTATAAATATGAATATCAGATTAAAAGAGAATTATGTTCTCTATCGAATGACATCATTTTCCAAATCCATGAAGAAGTTTTTGAGTTACATTGATTTAAAAAAAGCTTAATTTGAACTTTGACTTTTAATAATTGTTGTTTCCCAAAAAAATAAATATAGACCGCTACGTTCACCTCAATGGTCTCTATCGATCCCCAAAAGAATTTTTTTAATTTGAGAATAGTAGGTATTTGCACTTATGCCCTAATATGTAAACTTTTTAAAAAAAATTAGTCAAGAATATTAAACAAAGTAAAATTAATCGAAAGGTTTTAAGTTGCAATAATGTATTTATTGATTTATAGTACTTTTAAGCAGCAAGAAAAAAAATTAACCTGGTGGCCACTGCATTTGACGTCCTCCTAGAAAGTGCAAGTGCAAATGATAAACTGACTGTGCTCCATGCTGACCGTTGTTTACAACCACTCGGTAACCTTTATCTAATCCTAACTCATTGGCTACTTTTGCACCTACTATCATAAGATGACCAAGTAATTCTTTATCATCTCCATTAGCATGCGATAACTGAGCAATGGGTTTTCTAGGTATTACTAGAAAATGTGTGGGCGCCTGGGCATTAATGTCATGAAAAGCAACACACTAAAACAAATGATTTAGTTTCTTGTTATTACAGAATTTATGAGGCTTACTTTTTCATCCTCGTAGATGAAATTGCAAGGAATTTCTTTCCGAAGAATTTTCCCGAAAATAGTGTCTTCTGCGGGAGTTGCTGTTTGAGCTTTCTCGACCTCGCTGGACATTTTAGCAATGTTTGGCGAAATAGGCTTCAGGCTAAAAGGCGACATTTTCTTTTAAATGTTTGGTGGTAGTGCAAAATTAAACTTACCAATTCCACAAAGCTAACCTAATGCTTGAACTTATATGCATCTGTTAAAGTTAGTGATGGAAAAAGTATTAAGCTGCAAAACGATATTATCGATGGTATCGATAGTTTGATTTTTTGAAAAACATCGATTGTTTTCAGGTGATAGTTGATAGTTTCGATAGTGCCGGCGCATTGATAGCTGCGGTCCAAGAGACGAAGTGGCAAAGCAATTCAGCGCTGTTGAATTGTGTCGGGTACAACGTGCACCGTCGTCCTTTCCCCGGAGATTCGGCAACTAGTAAACGTACATGAGCGCAAAAAGTGGGAAGAGCATCTGAGGACCTGCAACTTCACCTCTGGTGTGAGTAAGCTTTGGTCAACCGTGAGGTCACTGTCCAATCCGATAAGCACGACGACAGAGTCGAAATTTCTTTCATCGACTATGCTTCGCTCCATACCATACTCCATACTTCGCTCTGGCTACTGCAGCAGGTTAAACTCCTACCTAAGTAGATTGAATGAGGATGTGCACAAATGAATATTGGGTGAAAAATTTCACCGGAAAATTCAGCAATTGTTTTGCGATTTTATATGTGCGAGTGTTAATTATATCACAGGTGCATACGTTATACGATAGTGTGAACATGATTCAAAGTGAACTACAGTATATTTTGCTTAGCTGCACATCCTTTGCACGAAAAACTTGTGCACTTAACCGAAAAAGGCACCTAAGCGAATTTTCTTTACTACTTCAATGAGGAAGGTATCCAAATCCCTATGAAACCAAATAATGGAGAAGCACTTACCACGTAGAAATTACTGCATGCGAAGTTTTTACCGAATAGTATCTAATTATCTATATAACTACATAAATTTATAGCCATTTTCGTTGTTTTGCGAGATGAACAAAATAAATAAAAAGTTGTAAAATTAGGTAATTGTAGGGCCAGTGCAGGTAAACGTAATACTTTCTTTGATAATTGAGACTAGTCGCACAATTTTTAAGGCAGGTATCGCCAATGTGCAGGTATGCTAAATGCATCTATCGGAGCAGTTTCCTTATAAATGTTAAAAATAATGCCTCTGATGCACATTTTAGGGTAGGTATCTTAAATGTGCACTTAAGCATAGAGGCAGCAAAGCAAAATATACTGTACTTCGCTTGGTGAATATTCAACATACGATAGGTTAACTGCAAAAGCGAAATGTGAACGAGTTCACACGAAATGAAAATTCATGTTAAGGCTAAGTTAGAATTTCACGCTTAAGATGTAATATTTACAATTACATATGTGCAATACCTATATATATATACATATAGAACACGATAGTATACGATACTATCGAAAATATCGATAGTATTTTTCAAACTATCGAATGGCGTCACCATCGATAGCTTTGCAGCTCTAGAATAGTATCGAGTATTAAAGGCCCTATACACGAATCGATTTATCGGCCAATCAGTTGGCCAACCAACAGACGTTGGTGGTAAATAAGCTGTGTGTAGGCAAATTGACAAAGGGCGCATTCCAAAATGTCAAAATACAAAGCCCCTTTTATTTCTAAACCTCAGAAGATTGTAATGCCAAATGTGTGCAACCACGGTTGGATGCTAGTTTTCCACTAGGTTGCGCAGGTCAGACCAAAGAACGTAGATAACAAGAAGGGACAACTCGTTATAATTGTACCGAAGGTACGCAACAGGGGCATGCCTTCTCTTTTTCCCTAGTGCGTTTTTTGATTGGATGAAAAGAGAAGGCACGCCCCTGTTGCGCACTTTCGCCACAATTATAACGAGTTGTCCCTTCTTGTCATCTACGTTCTTTGGTCAGACTTTTTCCTTTAGTACTGTTTAGAAATAAAAAAGACTGATGCTTTGTATTTTGACATTTTGGAATGCACCCAAATCTTCTTCAAGTTGTTTGACAGGTTGGAGTAAAATCAAAAATTTTTGATTTTTGAGGCAAATTGGTCAACTTGTTGCTCTGTGTGTAGACAAGTTGGCAACCTAAAATGCGATTCCATTTTTTTCAAAGGCTCGGTTCTTTTCGCTAGTGAAAATGCGTATAACTTGTGAAAACGGGGGCGGTAGCAATAACAAATACATAAAAATGAGAAGCATTCCCAACATAGCTTGAAAATTTGGCAGTGCTGTTGTGTTGTTCATAGTTCAAAAACTCTCACTCAAATGAAATCGGCCAACTGGTTGGTGCGTT